TGCTATGGGGCTGATGATGGCTGTATCTGTTGGAAATATTGCAACCTCCATTTTGATGCCTTTAGTGAGGGAGCTTCAATTAATGTCTATAAATCCAGTAACAGTCAATTGATCCCTCTTTATCTCGGATTCTTTCCCCCACCTGTCAGTGTTAGCAAAGAAATCTGCCAGAAGTAGATAGAGTGATGTGTTCTGTCAGCTACGTATGTAACTATGTCTCCCATCAGCGCTAACCAGTACAGTCCTAAAACATCTGGAGGACTGCACTTTCAGCACTGCTGATTTACGATGTACTCTTTATAGTACTCAAGCCATTTCACATATATTCTCATATTTTTTAACATATATGTAAGTAATTCTTGAAACTGCACTGTCAGGTTGGTGAGTATTATTTATTATACCTGGTCCAGTGGGAGGGTAAGAGAAAATGGCCCACCTTAGACCATCTTAATGAAAGCCAGTTTGGTGTCGTGGATAAAATACAGTATTAGACTAAGACTCAGGAGACCTGGGTTCAAATCCCTGCTTAGTTATGGAAACATCTCACATACTTTGAAAACCCTTGGAAGCAACTTTGATGCTTTTTCAGCGATGAGACGGTGTGCCATCACCTTTGTGAGGGTATGGCAAAGGTGACATTTGAACCAGGAAATTGCTGGTTCATAGCTCACCCTTGGAAATATGTTTGTCTTGGCACACATTTCAAGAGGGGCCAGCAATCTGTGTTCTGTTGTGATTGCTAGTCAGTATGACATGGTCAGAAAAATCCTTTCCTGTTCCAAGGATAATAATCAGTTGCAACAAGAACCAGTCAGATTAAAAAAAGAAACAACATGAGCTATCATCACTGTAGTTTCCTGCAGTTGCTTTCCATGTCTCATCAGAAGGAAAGAGGGGGAAGCTTCTCAAAACCTTTGGTGAGGAAAAGAAGGAGAAACTTTACATGGGTCATGGCTGAGGTATATATTTATTTTCTACAAAGCCAATATTAACATACCGTATTCATATTTTTAAAAAATCATGAAACATTTCTATCAATTTGCACATAATACTGTACAAAGACCATTTGTTTATACTATATACTAAGGTCATTGAAGTTATTTTTCTTGCACAGCTTCTGTTCCTTTAATGGTGGCATGGTGGACAGAAATACAATAGGGTTTCCTCTCCCATATCTCTGTAATTCAGTGCCAAAGAAAACTGGCCTTTTCAATGGCTGTATAATTGAGCAACCTTATTGGGGTGGTGATATACCAATATCATTTAGGTCTGAGTGAGTTTTCTGGCAACTAAAAATGTTCCTTTGGTTCTGTATTTCAGGATTATGCCACTTCTTTGGCACTGAATGAAAATATGTACAGTAACTGTAATTAGCATATGCGGTTATGATGAATTTCTGCCATCTGCATCCTGTTAATGGAATGAGAGTCTAGCTTCAGCTACTGAATATATTGCATTTATTCTAATAGATTATTATCAGAGTCTCAGAAAATGTTCAAAGAAATAAAACAGACTGGTTCCCCCTTGGAAATCCTGACATGGGGATTGAAATCATGAGATCTCACAAAAAGTTAGCCTTGGTTCAAGAAAATGGAAGGGTTCAAGATGAAATTGGTACTGCTGGTCAAAGGATATTGCACCACAGTTCTGCCTTAAACTACCTCACAGCTACTCTGTGGCAAGAAAAAGGATAAAGATGTGAAGGGAGGGTTCCAGACGGAAGAGGACTGCAATGTGTGGATCTTTTGTAAATTCTGTGAATGAGGGAGAAATGTCTAAAAATGTCCCAGGAAAACTATGTGGGCCACCGATCCACCTCTGGAAGGTTTACTTTTGTACCCTGTGAATCTCTTGTCATGCTGTAGAAAGCATATTTCAAATAATGTCTCTACTATTAAGAGATTAAAAATATATACTCTTAATAAGCACCTAATGCTGGCATGCTTCATCTTGTTTTAGCAAATGCCTGCAGGCAAAACAAACACATTCTGTATCCATCACATTATACAATTGCACCATCATATATAATCACATTAACTTAACCAGTGATGTGCAAATTAGGCTGAAATCCTGTTGAACAGTTATGCAAAAGACACAGCATTTGGCAGAGAACTGCCACCAGTTGAAAAGTCTCAAGGACCACCTCTTCCTTTATGAGTCTGCCTCTGGTATTAAGATAATCAGGACAGGCTTTTCTCTCAGTCCCACCACCTTCACAGGTACATTTGGTGAGGACACAGGAGAGGGCCTTCTCTGTTGATACTTCCAGACTTTGGAACTCCCTCCCACTGGAGGCCAGGCTGGCCCCATCTTTGCTGTCCTTCAACAAGCAGGCAAAAACCTTTCTCTTCAGGCAGGCTTTCCCTGAGTGACTGGCTGCCTGAGTGGCTTTTTAAATGGATAGTTGTGCCTTTCTGCTTTGAATGTGTTTTTGGTGTTGCATACACACACACACCCTCTTTAAGTGTAGTATTTCTTTGATCTAGAGAGGTTTGGAGGTTTGGAGGTTCATGACAATTTGTTGGACTGGCACCACAGGTGCCTCTCGTTCCCCTCTTCCCCCACCCCCACTAGATACTCCACTCTCCAACCAGTGCATGCTGCTGTTCTCCTCCTCTTCAGGCATTCGATCGGTCCCAGCAGGAGCAAGTGCTTCCTTCCTCTGCCTCCTCTGGTAGCTGCCCACTCAGATGGGGAGGCAGGGCAGGGCTTCCTACAGCACTGCCTTTGAATGGGTGGCTGCCAGAGGAGGTGGAGGAGGGAGCACGTGCTCTTGCTAGGACTGGTTGAATGCTGAAGAGGAGGAGGAGAGGAGTTCATGCCAGCTGTTGAGTAGAGAATCTGGCCAGGGGGTGGGGAAAGGGAACACAGTACCTGTAGTGCTGAGGACTGGTTGAATGCCTGAAGAGGAGGAGGAGAGGAGCTCATGCCAGCTGTTGAGTGGAGAATCTGGCCAGGGGGTGGGGGAAGGGAACACAGTACCTGTAGTGCTAGTCTGATGAACCAGCACCAACCACCAAACCGAGATTCATGCCCATCTCTAGTTTGATCCTATTTAGTATTTGTATACTTACTGTTTTTATCTTTAAATATTGTCTTTTATTGATGTAAGCCACCTTGGATGCTTTTTAAGGATAAAGACAGGGCAAATTTTTTTAAATCTAGCTTTTTAAGGAGAAAGGCAGGGCAATTTTTTAAAAATCTAAAATAAATAAAGAAAAGATGTGCAAGATAATGTCTACAAAGATTTCTTAACTTGCAGCAATTTGCCCTTTATGTAACTTTGCAACATGATTTCAGTCTTTGTGTTTTTTTCATTGCAACTCCTAGAAGCAGAGCTGCCTCTAGAAAGTACAGATCTCCACACCTCTAGATATTCTACCAGATATCTAGCTTTAGCTATCCTTTCCCTAGAAAAGGGCTAAGGGATTTGTTCTGGTCATAGCATAGCCAACATGCTTGTCCTTTAAAAACAGTGCCTGATAGGTGTTTTTAAAAGCAACCAAATTAGGTAAAAATAATATGACAGCTTATAGTCTTAAATCTATGTGGTTTTTATATTGTTTATTTAACATTGTAACTAGTCACATTGAGAAGAAAGGTTGGGTGTAAATATTTTAAATAAATAAAGGCCTTATGTAAACTCGACTTCTACTTTATAATTTTTCCACCGTATTAAAATTTCTTCTGACTCTCCCTTTCTTTTTAATAGGCAAAATCTGAGATCTCCACACCTCTAGATATTCTACCAGATATCTAGCTTTAGCTATCCTTTCCCTAGAAAAGGGCTAAGGGATTTGTTCTGGTCATAGCATAGCCAACATGCTTGTCCTTTAAAAACAGTGCCTGATAGGTGTTTTTAAAAGCAACCAAATTAGGTAAAAATAATATGACAGCTTATAGTCTTAAATCTATGTGGTTTTTATATTGTTTATTTAACATTGTAACTAGTCACATTGAGAAGAAAGGTTGGGTGTAAATATTTTAAATAAATAAAGGCCTTATGTAAACTCGACTTCTACTTTATAATTTTTCCACCGTATTAAAATTTCTTCTGACTCTCCCTTTCTTTTTAATGGGCAAAATCTGGTTTGTGTAACTTTGTGCCCGTGTTACTCGGATTGGACAGCACAATTAGTTAAATTTCCATAACAACATCTTGTCCTAATGTTTCAAGTGCATTAGGTATTATTAACTTAAAAGATACCATATGAGAACAACAACAACAAAATCCACTAAAGCAATTTCATCTTATTTGACACTGCCAACCAATAAGAAAGATAAGAGCTGTTATAACTGCTAAATGTTTGGAGAGATCTTGCTGAAAAGGTGCGTTTTCATTGTGGCTAAATTGAATGATCATGTGCAAAAAATTTTTGTACCAAACTAGAATCTTTGAAGAGAAAAATTGGCCAGTGTGATTTAGACACGGAACGCTGTTTACCTTCCCACCGAGGTGGTCCCTATTTATCTACTCGCATTTGCATGCTTTCGAACCGCTAGGTTGGCGGGAGCTGGGACAGGCGACGGGCGCTCACTCTGTCGCGTGGATTCGAACTTACAACTGCTGGTCTTCTGACCCTGCAGCACAGGCTTCTGCGGTTTAGCCCACAGCGCCACCACGTCCCTGTTATAACTGTTTGCTAAATGTTTGGAGAGATCTTGCTGAAAAGGTGCGTTTTCATTGTGGCTAAATTGAATGATCATGTGCAAAAAAAATTTGTACCAAACTAGGATCTTTGAAGAGAAAAATTGTGAACTCTTCCCATGTTCCATATTGTCCAACATCTTTTTGTGGTTGTTTGCTTTTCCGGTTTGCAGCTCTGACCTATGATCCTATTGAGTGGGTTCCACCTGTGCAATGGGAATGACCTCATCATCTTCATTATGATTAAAGCTTGATATTGATTAAAGATTAAAATGTATAAACTCAGTGGCAGAACTTGAAATAACCAAAGAAGAATGCAGTTAGTCATTTATGTATCTATTGATGTTTCCAGGAGACCAGGTGAACCCCCACTTGATAAAGGTGTTATTCCTTGGCTGGGGCACGCACTGGACTTTGGCAAAGATGCCGCCACATTCCTGTACAACATGAGGAAGAAGCATGGCGATATTTTCACAGTGAGTACCTTCCGGGTGATGTCTGTCAGTGTTTATTTCCTTTGGAATTCACCAAACTCTTCGTATTTCAAGACAATGCTTTTGTTGTATAACAGCTCTGCCATGTTCAAGGAACAAGCAACCCACACAGCAACATTTTCCATTTTTAACACCCCTGCATCTTCCCCCTTTCCCTACCCCTTACCACAGGAAATCCGATCAGTAGGAACAGACAGAACACCTACTTATCTACCTTGTATCTTTTGATAATAATGGTAGGAGCAGATCTTGGAAAAGTTACCATTTCTTTCCTACTCAGCATAACCAGTGCCCATGTTAACTGGGGGAGTCTGGAAGCCATAATCCAAATTGATATCTTAAAAGAGCAATGAATTATTTTTCTTTTTTCTTTTGCTTTTCTCTCATATTTTACATTGGTTCTGGTTCTGTGCCTTCAAGTCACCTCCAACTCATGACAACCCTATGAATGAGCACTCTCCAGAATGTCCTGTCCTCAACAGCCCTGCTCAGCTCCAGCAGATTCAAATCCTTGGGTCTTTCAGGAAGTCAGTATGTGTCATACTTAGTCTTCCTCTTTTCATGCTGTCTTCCATCTTCCTCGAACAGCCCTGCTCAGCTCCAGCAGACTCAAATCCTTGGGTCTTTAAGGAAGTATGTGTCATACTTGGTCTTCCTCTTTTCATGCTGCCTTCCATCTTCCTCTGCATTATTGTTTGTTTTCCAGAGAATCCTGTCTTCTCATTTACGTGCTCAGAGTAGAACAGCTTCAGTTTCAGTCTTTTTGCCCCCAGAGACTGTCCAGTCTTGATTTTATCTAGGACCCACTTGTCACGTTTCCCATGCGCCCTCTGTTTACTATTTTCAAACAAAGGCTTATGTCACGTTCTCTCTTCACTGCCACCAGTGGATTACTTCAATCCACAATATAAATGACATATTCTGACATTTGTCATGTGAACAAAACAACTTATTTATTGGAGGGAAGCAGAATAAATAAGAACAGAAGTCTTCCAGCTTTTCAGTGTACACAAGCATTTCGTCATCAGTTCCCTCAATACATAGTTTTTCTCAGCTTACAGACTCACTCATTACCACCCTCTCTACCTATCTCCCTAACCAGCCCTATCTGACTCCTCCTTCTCCCGCCAGGCTTAATGTAGCTGTTGACTCCGCCTCTCCAGCCTTCTCATAGGTTCATGTAAATCAGCTCATGAGTATGAGTGACATGGGCGGTCGCCACACCACTCATTTGTCTTTCTGGCAATCCCGGGTGTCCATAAAGCTCTCCTCTAGATATAGTATCTGAATTGGCCACCAGAAAGCATTTTCCTAAATTTTTGTGATGTGTTGATAAGGACAACACAATGCATTACTAACATGTAACACAACAAATTACTTGGTTGGTTGAAGCACAGTGAATTATTTGGATGATTGGAGCAGTGATAATAAGGGCAACCTGACTGTTGGGGAGCAATAGTAATGCAAAGAGTTCCTTCTAAAAACTCTGAGCCTGAACTACTTCACACAGGATTGATGTGAGTGTATACAAAAAAAACTTGATACGGACCATGAACCCCACCTTGAGTTCTTTGGAGGAAAGGAAAGGTGTAACTCTAACAGACAGACAAGCAAATACAGTAAGTAATGTTGCTAATCCTTCCATTTAAGTATCTGACATATACAAGCTTAGTGCCAGGATCACGATCTCTTGGGAAGATACTGTTGCAGAGCTTTGAATTTCTGGTTAAAATTCTTTTTGCTATGCAATAAAAGTACAGAGATCCACAGAAGAGAATGCCTTCGACTTCCCCAGAGAGGCCTCCCATTTTTCATTTACTGGCACTTACAGTCTGAATAACTTGCTCTGAGACTTTTGTAGGAGAAAGAGTAAAAACATTTCATTACTTACAGTTTGAATAGATTGAGAGCAAACAAACAAACAATTGTTTCGAACAGACTAAAGAGAGGGAATGGAGGCACTCAGCAGAGAGGCAGGGCTCTCTTTGAATTCAGCGGTGGAAAGGAACAATGGATCAGTGCTGGATGGGTTGACCACCAACCTGCCTCAGAAAGGACCCTCCTAGCCCCACAAACCATAGACAGCATGTGAGGTTGTAAAAACTCCAACAGATACTGTCTGCTGCCTCCTTTTCTAAGATTGCCCTCCATCATCACCTCCTTGTCTATACTGCCTTTGTCCATCCAGGTTTTCTTTCTGAGCCCAGTCCATATTACTTCACAGATGTGTATGTATAAGGTGTGTGGAGAAGCTATGTGGAGGGTCTGGCTGTAGCTTGTTCACTCATTTGCTTGGAAGAGGCCAAAGTGCAGGCAAAAACAACAAAGAGGAGAAGCTCCAGGGCCAGAAAGCTGGCCGTGGAACCCTACAGGGCCAGAGGCTTTGGCAGGTGCCTAGCAAAGCCAACGTCCGATGCTGCCTATAATGTAATGGATTAGCTGCTGATTGAGGGGGTGCGGATTGTGTTCACCTATGAGGTATAGTGGTAAGACTGTTGGACTCAGACTTGAGAGACCTGGGTTAAAATCCTTGTTCTGTCATGAAATTCAGTGGGCCGTCTTGGGCCAGATACGCTCTCAACCTGTCCTACCTCAGAAGGTTTCATGAAGATGAAGTGGGAAGGAAAAGAGCTTGCCTTATCCAAGGAAAAGTGGAATGCTAAAATAACATAACATAACGTAACATAACGTAACGTAACATATAACATAACATAACATAACATATAATATAATAAAGGCCTTTTCTTGTTATCCTCAAGTAATCTTTTGTCCAGCCTTTTCTTCAAATTGACACAATTGCAGTTGGATTAATTGGGCTGTTAGTAGCCAGGTGGGCAAGCGCAACAGCCAGCGAAGATGCTGATCCCATTCTGTTCACCTCTATCCATCATTTAACTACCGTCCTTTTGCCTGCTGTGACAAACAAGTTTCCATTCTGCCTCACTGCACATCAGAGATGGGTGTGCCCAGCAATTGATGGAAGGAATGGGGTGGGAAAAGGCAGAGCAGTTGCACCTTGTCTTGCAGGTTTAAATAGGGAGGTACTATTTTAGGGAGATGACGACCTGCTAACTTCAACTGTGAGTTTTCTGTACAAAATGCCATTCAAGACTAGCTTGTTATGTTCTTGTCTCTTTGCAGGTCATGGAGTTGCTCCAGGTTTACATGGCAACACAGACCTTCTGTGTTCAGGCCACTGATTTGTGCAGCCTCCCGTTGCACATTCTGTAAAGTAAAATGCATGTATGATGGCATCCAAAAACATGAAAGAAACACTTTTAACAGGAAGGAGATTCCTTCCAAGTATTATTTATACCTGTGCAGTATTTCCAAATTGCCTCATATTGAAACTGTTCATATGACATTTTACCAAAATACAAATACATGTACCGCACGTATAAAAGTGGAAAACAATTGTGAGAATCATCTTGCATAGTTATATTGCAGAAGAAAAATGGCATGACTAGAAATGACAAATTTCTACTGACAAGTCTCCGCTTGGATAAAAAATTCTTGGACCAGGAATTCAAGCAGGGACTTGTTAAATCAGGGCAATTTACTTCTGTAAGTTATACCACTACTCTTCTGCTGGTCTAACTATCCATGAGGATACTGGTCAATAATTTAAATTATAGAAAAGCAATAGCAGAAGTATTCAATTAATTCCCAAATGCCATGAGAACACTTAAATCCTTTGGTTCCCTTTCGAAAACTACTAGGGAAGAACACGTAAGAAAAGATGGAAAGAACTGGGAATGTTTAGCCTTGAATTTTTTTCTTTTATTTATTTCTAAAGAATGAAAAGACAGTCAACCATATTACAAATAGTAAATACAAAGCTATTCCTCACAATTATCCAAATCACATATATACCATTCCCCGTCACTTTTTAAAGAAATATTGATATTATCCAAATCACATATATACCATTCCCCATCGATCAACAATCTAAATTTCTTTTCAAACCACATGTCTCAAAGTCTATTTTGTCGGCATATTTTAATAATGGCTTCCAGTTTTCAGTGAATTTACTATGGCTTATTTCTCTATGTAATCTAACTTTATTATTCATTTTTTCCATCAGCAATGTATTCCCTATTTTACTTGTGAATGCTTGCAATGAGAGATCTTGGGCTTTTTTCCAATTTTTAGTGATTTCAGATCTTGCAGTGCCTATACGATTTGCAAATAAGTCTTTATATTCTAGTTTCTCATTTCCCCCTGTGAATAATGAAAATAACAATTGTTTAGCCTAGAAAAATGAAGACCTTGATAGCACTTTTCAAATACTTGAAACACTTTTCAAATACTTGAAAAGTAGCCATAGAGAGGAGGGGCAGGATCCATTCATGATCACCCCAGAGTGCAGGACACATAATAATGGGCTCAAGCTACAGGAAGTGAGATTTAGGATGAATATCAGGGAAAACTTTGTAACTGTTAGAGCAGTATGACAATGGAACCAGTTATGTCAGGATGTGGTGAGTGCTCTAATGCTGGAGGCATTCAAGAGAAAATTGGACAACCATCGGTCAGATCTGTTTGGATTTGGATTCCTGCATTGAACTCTTCCAGCTGAATTATTCTATGATTCTATAATGTATTTTCCCATTGTGCATTTGGCCTTTATTCCTGCATTGAACTCTTCCAGCTGAATTCTATGATTCTATAATGTCTTTTCCCATTGTGCATTTGGTCTTCCTGGGCCCACTATGAAAACATGTTTCTCCCAAGATATTACAAGCTTGTCTCTATAGAGGATAGATGAAGCAAGGAGTCGGTCAAGGCCATATTGGCACCTGAAATGCAAAATATTGACAATGAGTTGTTGGCACAAGAGCCTAGAAGAGTAGCTTGCTTGGACTTCAGGTCCCAGACTCCTGCAGCCAGTGTGGTCACTGGCCATGCTGATTGTGGAATTCTGGAAGTTGTTGTTCTAAAAATTCATGCTTTCCAGCTCTGATTTCTCATGCTTCTGGAGGGATTGGCCCAAGGTGAGCTTCATCACTAAGGGATTTTCAGCCCAGCTCTTCTCAATTTTAATCCAACACTTTGACTGAAATCTAGTTACTAGTCCTAGCTAAAGCAGACATATTGAATTGACTGATAAATGAGTTAACACATACATGAATCCTATTGATTTAATGGGTCTACTCTAGAGAGGACTCAATTTTCCAGTCCAGGAACACAGCCACAGTACAAAGTTACACCAGGGAAGAGCAGTCTGAAGTGGTTTCCAGCATCTTTAGACTGGGATGGGTTTGGATTAGAGATGGGCACAAACTGGTTCATCCCAGTTCATCCTGGTTAGTCAAGGTGGCAGCACAGGGGCTGCTGTTCCCCTCCCCCACCTCCCTTTGCTCAAACAGCAATTTGCCAGAGCCAGCATGCTAGTTTCTGGTAACTTTTTAGCTGATTTTCCAGTCCCAGCAACAGTTCAGGCCCCGCCCTCTTGGCTGATCTCCCACTCAGATGAAAGGGTGGGGCACAGATGTCGATGCTCTTGCTCATGACTGGGAGATTAGCCGTGGAGGTGGGGAAGAAAACCACAAACTGGGTCTGGTGAATGGCTGATTGGCTGAGGAGGGAGAGGAGGGGAGCAGCAGCACCTGTGCTGTCACCTTTACAAACTGGGATGAACCAGTTCATGCCCATCTCTAATTTGGTTTCCAGCCCAACTTCAGCTGGTTTAATTTTGGCTTAGCCAGTCTTTCACCATCTTGGCTATTTAGGATTACATTGTACTTCTTCTAATCAATTGGAATTATGTTGGCTTATTTTGGGTCCATCCTGAGAATGAATAAAATCAGTGAGAAAAAGAAAGAGGAGAAGTTCTGTAATTACAGCCTTCACAGACCAGCATCTCATGGTCTTACCCTTGAAGACAACAGCTAACATCATCCTTCATTCTGCTGTCCATCTGTGCTCTAGAATTGCCACCTTGGCTACATCCTACTTTTATTCAGAGCAGTTTTTCTGTCTAGTTAGTCTACACAAACACACATGTAATTGGTGTTGTTTTGAGATGCTTGGCAATGCCACCAATAAAAAAATTGAAATGGAGAGCAATTCGGCATGTCTTTTTGCATGCTGAATTGTAGAAAGGCCAACTTTTTTCTTTAAATGTGCTCATTTTGTTCAAGTGAAGTGCTGGTCAAAATCTTGTTGGGTAGCGTCCATGACACCAGCAGTGGTGGCAGATTGCTGTTTGTTAAAGGCTCCCATCCATTATTTTTGGGGTACATGCGACTTCGTTGCATTGCGCACAAGCCATGTAGAAGTATGCTGCTGCTGCTGCTGCCCTGCATGCTCTACAGGTGGAGCTCTGCAACAGGATTTCAGCCATTCAGGATCTATTTTCTTATTTCTTAATTTAAGATTCAAGCTGCAGGGAAGTTTGTCACCATCTTGCTGGATCCCCATTCCTATGACGTCGTGCTGTGGGAGCCCCGCTCCAAGCTGGACTTCAACCAATATGCACGCCTTTTAATGGACCGAATGTTTGACGTCAAGCTGCCGGACTACGACCCCAATGAAGAAAAGACCATGTTAAGAATGTAAGTGCAAAAAGGGGGATCACCATGAAACAGCCTTGCCAATGAGTCTGCCTGGTTCAAGAATATCATAAAACATACCTGCAATTTATTTTAACTATGACACTGAAGTAATCTGGATTCACATGTTTGTCTACAGTGCTAAATGCTATGACTTCTATAATGTGATGCCCAACTGTAAGATGGTCTACACATGTGGCAAATAAAATGGGTGGCATGAGGCAGCTTGTGGATCCAATGAAAGGGCATTTCATTCCCAGGATTTGGGAGGGAGGTTTTGAGCTGCCTATGGCAGATGCTATGTTCCATTCAACTAAAGGGAATTGAGTTTTGTACAGTATCCTTAAGCATGGCTTGTTTTGCAGACCCCTCCCTTTAACTTTCCCTTGGTTTAAAAGAAATCCTGCTGCAGGCCTTGCATTAGTATTCCTTCCATGGAACAGATCTTTTCAATTAACAGCTCACCTCTGAAGTCTCAGTTGGTAGAGATAACACAGAAGGTGCCGCTTCAGACTTTATATTGGCCTAATCTTAGGCCCTGAAGTGTTAGACTACAACTTCCAACAACTGCAGCCAGCAGGAGATTTATGGGGCTTGTAATTCTTCAGCATTGAGGGATCCAAGAATGGTAAAAGTTGCTGTTGGTGATGTAAATTGTGAGAAGCACTGATTTTGAAGGTTCCCCAATTAAAACGTTCAGAGAGAAACATCTTGGTCCATTTCCTTTTGCACAGTATTTCTATTTGTAGAGATTTTGTATTTACTTTCCCTGGTAGCCTTACACTCATAAACCAAACATTACTGTCTTGAGCCAGAAGCTTTTTACTGCACATGGAGGGGAAAGCATGGACTCCATGACAGCTAACTGAAGAGGTGCCAATTCCATATTGGGCCTCATCACCCATTAAGACATGCAATTGATACACAACAAGCACTTTTACAATTAGGCTTCCACAATGTTATTTATACATACAGTTAAAAAAACAACAACATTAGGATCTTGATCCTTGTGTGTAGACTAAAAACATCAGGAGGAAGGCTAGATTGTTACCTGTCCCCAAGGTATATGACTACTCCATGGACAAAGAGTAGGGCCGGCCCTCCTGTAAGGCAGAGTGAGGCAGCTGCCTCAGATGGCAGATGCTTGGAGGCAGCAGAGCCATTTCCGCACGATCTACTTCCCTCACACCAGATGGGCCTTGATCTCTCAGGAGTGATGGGAGATTAGGCGGCTTCTGTACATGGAAAGTGGAGAGGGAGAGCACCATCTAGTCTCTTTTCCTCAGACAGCAAAATATCTTGGCCAGATCCTAGGAAAGGGACTCTGAGATTAGCAACCATTTAGTCATGCAGTTCCTCCATTGCATGTTTAAGTGGTCTAAGCCAGGAGACCTTACTATAATACCTACACTTGTAGAAATATTGGGTGGGGAAGCTCTGTATTGGTCTCTGCCAATTACTATTTGTGAAAATGTTGTGTCTTTCTAATTCAGTTATGCTCGTGCAATGAGAAATTAGTAAGCAGCTCATCTTTCCAGCTGTTGAATTTTTTTTTTAAAAAAAAATCTTCCTATTTGAAACTTGTATTTTTAAAGGTGTCTGGTTTTATTCACTCATGCTTTTGAAATCTCTGGCATGGACATAAGCTTCCTTATACACTTTAAAATGAAAGAAGGGAGGAAAAGCAATTTCAGAATATAAATAGGACGACCTCAGAGTTTATGCTGGCAAATGAAAAGAAAACAAAACCGATGTGGAGAAATGCCAATACTGATGGGAGCTGAAGCCTTATTGTCTAGAAGCCCCAGATTATTATGTTTATAGCTCAAACATTGCTGTTGAATGGGATAAAATAGTATTATGAAAAGCATATACACTTAGGGATAACTTTGCATTTTGTCAGCAGTCTTGTCAACAGAGAGCTTAAAACACTAAAAAGGAGCAACTAATTCTTGTCCCTCTGTAAGGTCTTCTGGGGCAAAAATGTTTTCAGGATGCTGGGAAAGCAGAAGGATGTAAAAGAACTGCACTGCAAGCAAACAGATTCTAGGGCTTCTCTCTTGGATTACAGAGCTCAGTTCCTTGCAACAACAAAAAAGTATTGGGCCCCAGCTCTGTTGTGACCTATGCTAACACAGGTCTGGTAAACATTGGAATAAGAAGCTCTTCTCTCTAGTCTGTAGCTTCACAAAGTCTGGAAGGGGTAGCTTATGCAGCTTGAAAAGGCAGAGACCTGACTAGAACAGTGATAGCTCAGTAGTAGAGCACCTACTCTGAATGTAGAAGGTTCCAAGTTTGGTTTCCAGCATCTGTAGGCAGAAACAACAACAACAACAACAACAACAACAACAACAACAACAACAACAACAACAACAACAACAACAACAACAACAGGGACCCTGAAGAGCTGCTCCTGGTCAGAGTTGACAATACTGGATCAGGGAGACTGATGCCTAATTTTGAAAGGGGGGGGGCAGGCATACACGCAAATACTGTACCAATGTGAGTTGAAAGTTTGCACCTACTCCAAAATTATTTTTTCTTAACTGCTGGACAGCTCAGTGGTTTAGGTATCTAGCTGTGGAATGAGAGGATGGGAGTCGAATTCTCCACTGTGCATCCTAGAAGAGTCTTGTAATGCAGTGGTTAAACTACAGTACTGCAGTGAAGACTCTGCTCATGATCTGAACTCAATCCCAGGCTCAAATAGCTGGCTTGAGGTTGACTCAGCCTTCCATCCTTTTGAGGTTGGTAAATTGAGTACCCAGCTTGCTGGTGGTTGTGGGGGACAATCTGTAGCCTGCATAATTAAAAATGATAAACTGGCCAGAGAGCGCTTTAAGCACTATGGGTTGGTATATAAGTAGCACACTTTGCTCTGCTCTGCTTTACTTTGGATTTGATAATCCATAGAGTCACTTCCAGCTCTGCAGTTCTAAGATTATTATTAGTAAAAGGGCTTGTTTTTGTTACCACCTCACCACCTCTAGTGGCCAATTTTATTTTTTCCCAAAAAATTTGGGGTGGGCAGTCCTCAAAGTTTTTTTAAAAATGTTTGTGGGAAAGCCTGGGAGCCCTTAACGATGCTGGGCTTCATTAGAGGCCATGGGGGATGCATGAAGTCCATGGGCAACACTTGTAACAGATGTTTTCTGCCACTGTTATAAAGATCCCAAAGGTATTGCATTATAATGTTTGTAAGTAAGTAAACACAAAGCGCAAATTGAATTAATGCTTCAGTTAAGCTGAGCATCCTCTCTGAGGAGTGGCTCTGTTGTGCAAGTTTCATGTGAAAGCTTCACTTGTGGAAGTTTCCTGCTGATTGGATGTGCCAAGAAAAACATGTCAAAATTATTCCCTTGAGGTGTGACTTGATCAACAAGCTGGCAAAGATGAGCTGGTAGAGTTCTGGTGAAAGAAGCAAGCACAACAAGGCGGTTCGAATGTTAGATACAGGGAAACCTGATTCCACATAGAGAAGAAGTCTCACTTAATGATCACTAGAATAGATACCTTCTTATATAGTAGTCTATATAACTACTATATAGACTACTACACCAGGGACGTGGTGGTGCTGCGGGCTAAACCGTCGCTTGTCCCAGCTCCCGCCAACCTAGTGGTTCGAAAGCATGCAAATGCCAGTAGATAAATAGGGACCACTTCGGTGGGAACGTAACAGCGTTCCGTGTCTAAGTCGCACTGGCCATGTGACCACGGAAGATTGTCTTCGGACAAAACACTGGCTCTATGGCTTGGAAACGGGGATGAGCACCGCCCCCTAGAGTCGAACACGACTGGACAAAAATTGTCAAGGGGAACCTTTACCTTTACCTTTACCTTTACCTTTTATATAGTAGTCTAGAAAGTCATTTCCAACTTAGGGTGAAACTATGAATTAACAAGCTCTAAAATGTTTTATTAACAGCCCTGCTCAGGTCTTGCAACTTCAAGGCTGTAGCTTCCTTTACTGCATCAATCCCTCTCCTATATGTTCTTCTTCTTTTCCTGCTGCCTTCAGCTTTTCCTAACATTCCTGCTGGGTGTGCTTCTCATACGAACAAAGCAAGAAAGAACATTATTGTTTTTCTCCAGGGACGTTTGTCTTCTCATGCTGCATTTGAAGTATGGTAGCATTAGTTCAGTCATTTCAGCTAGGCACTGAGACCCAAATCCAATCCACACTTTATATGGGTAAGGAAAATTTCACAGTGTTTCTCCACCACCACCTTTGGAATGCTCTCCATAACACATTCAGCGGTGTGACTGATTTCTCGATCTGTGCCTGCCTGCTTCTGCAAACATGAGCCTGTTGAAGAGAAAAACACTACATGATTGCCCTTCCAAAACTGCACAGGCAAACAAGATTCAATCCTTTGTTGGTGCATTTATTTTAATTAAGTCCTGCTGATCTCAGTAGGGCTTATTTTGGAGTAGACACTTATAGATTCCAGTTAGCTGTCCTCCATATCGTCTGTCATTCCCAGGTGGGGAAACTTTCTTCAGAATCAGGACACGGTCGGAGAATTAGGAGTGTCTTACCCTGAAATCAATGATTCATAGGGTCCCTTAGGACTCTACAGTTCTGAGATTTATTTATTCATTTATTATAAATGGTGGGGAGAGAGACCTCCTTCTGGTCATACTGTGAGTCACAGTGGCTTTAATAACAACATTCAGAAGACACCATTATGGAGGAAAAAGCTCTTCCTACTGACTCTTCTCATTGTAACAGTGTTTGAGTTTTGTTGTTGTTTTGAGGAAGTCTTACATAAATATAAGATGGGCACTTATGATGTGCATATAGGTTAATTTTCATACTGGCATTGAATAAATCCCAGTTGTAGAAGCATTTCACACGGTAGCGTTTGTTTTTTCAGGACTCTGCAAAACCAGAATCTCTCCTCCCTGACAAAGGCCATGTCTTTCAATTTATGGAACATTTTGCTTTCTGACCCAAGCAGAACCAGCCTGCATTGGAAAGAGGATGGCCTCTTTCATCTCTGCTACAGCACCATGCTCAGGTGAGCGACACATTCTTTCCATCCTAAGTGAGGTCTGCTTAGGAGTCTTCTTCAGGGATGCCACACACATCGCAAATGTACGAGTGAAAAAAACAAAACAAAACAAAAGGAAAACAAACCCCTCGATGGATATTGAAGGGTGAAGAATTTCTTTCAATTTGAGAGCCAGCTTCGATTTCAGAGAAGATTTGGGGGAGGAGGAGAAGGTTGATTCCAGTGGAAAGTGGGGCCAATGCATAGAAACAAAAGTATCAGCATGATATCAGCAGAACTAGCCCCTTCAAATAGTGAGAATGAAAATAAGGGCACGGGGCACACGTGCACATGTTCACATGCACACACGCACACACACACACACACACACACACACACAGAGGAGTTCAATTTGAGGGCTAGGAAAGAGAGAGAGAGAGAGAGAGAGCAGTTCAATTTGAGGGCTAGGAGTAGAGCCAGGGCAACTCTGAGGAGATTGCATATGACCCAGACGTTCCCTGGTGCCTCATCAATCAGCCACTATAAGTTGCAACGCTGGTACTCAAACTTTACACTGGCACCAGTAGGGATTGGGGCCATATTTACAAGGGCTGAAGGTAAGGAAAAACTTTACATCATTCCCCAGTCCATGTACAGAAGCTGGCTGGATTGGCTGTTGAATTGTTCTTCAGCACTGGCAATAAGGCAGTGTCATTGAAGCACTTGAAAGCAGCAAGCTAGCTTGAGGGGTGGGGTATGTAGGCAAGGAGCATGCCATTCAGTTGTCTTTTCCTGTACTTTCCTGACCCTTCTCATCATCTGCTTCTGGAAGTGACTGCTTCACTCTGCCTAATGGCTGTGGTGGAATACAGAAGATGGAATACACTGTATAATCCAACTTGTTATAATGTGCCTTCAAATCACTTCTGACCTATGGCAATTCTATGGGTGAGTGATCTCCAAAAGATCCTATCACTAAAAGCCCTTCTCAGATTACTGTGTTTTGCCAACTTTAAAGGCTAGTAATCCTTTCTTTAAAAGAAGAACAAGGAACAAGAAAGCAACCGAGGTTTGCATCTGATGGTAACTTTTGCATCAGCCAAGAAACTGTTTCTAGTTTTACAGAAGGCACAACTTTATAGCTCAGTGGTTTAGGTATCTGGCTGCATAGTCAGAGGTTGGGGGTTTGATTCCCCCACTGTACCTCCTTGTCAAGGGCTGGACTCGATGATCCACAGGGTCTCTTCCAGCGCTGCAGTTCGAAGGAAGGAAGGAAGGAAGGAAGGAAGATAGATTTCTGATGATTCCTACCTGTAGTCCTCCAAACTGTATCTCACACTGAGAAGCCCCATTGTCAGGATCAGCTCTTCTGAGGGTGTGGGAGATTGCTGTGATTTCAAGGATGGAATCAACATATGTTTGATAAATAATTCCTACTGCAAGTGGAAGTGGTTTGCACTAATGTAAAGCCAGCATTCAGTGCAACCCCAGATGTTTAACTATTGTGTCATGGAGTAAAATCTGAGAACTAAACACATCATAGATAGTTTTCCTTGATCAGCAGAGAATTGTACTGGTGCCAGCTGGAGAGAATTTAGAGGGAAATGTCCAAGGCCTCATTCAGTGGAATGAGCAAATGGGACCCCAAACACAACAGTTTGCGAAATTGTTGATGCACACAAACTAATGTGCTTTAATATGGGAGTATGGGGAAAATAAGATGGTTAAGTCCAGACTCTAAATATTGTCTAACGATAAAGTTGAGACAAGGACTGAAATTTGAGCAGTGGAAGCGAATAGAGGACTCTGGATGGCTAAATTATGAAAAAAAAATTGATTGAAAAGATGAATAAAGAATAGGTTGTATATCCTGTTTCACAGAGAATAGTCCTTTGTTTGAAGAATGATCAGGGGGCAGTCCTCTGTTTGAAGATACAATCTATTTGCACATTAGCTGGAGAGCAGAAGTTGTCCGTCATTCGGTAGTAGAGATGGGCACAAACTGGAAAAGTGACGAATTGGCGTGGTTTGTGGTTTATGTCCCCTGAAAAAGCACCACCCGAATCAATCAGAAATGAACTGGTTCATGGTTTGTTGTTTTCCAGTCCGTGCCTGGGAAGGGGAACCTCATGCCTCTACCTCCTCTGCCGCTAAATTGCCTGCTTCCCACTGCTCCATATCTCCCTACCTGGTCCTGCTGCCACTGCCTCTTTGCCCTCTGCCACTGCCATCCTCAGAGACTGTGGCCTGGCACCCATTCTAGAAGCTGGGCTGCTGTCTCTGCCCTTTCACACACCTATCAGCTGACCATCCTTCAAGAGGAGTCTTGATTAATATTTTCTAGGGAGGCAGGATGGAGTGTATGGGAAAACAGGCAGAAAAAAGGTACAGGAAGGTCATTTTTGTCTTCTCAGTAAAGTATATGGTGCTGTTGTCGATAGATAAAGAAAGAAAAAAGAGAAACAGTCTGGCTGGAGACATGTTGAGTTCTAGGCAACTGAGAAGGAATATCAAGAAAATACAGTGACAAAGCATGCATGCTGCTTATGTACTGCCCCGTAGCACTTAAAGCACTCTCTGGTAAGTTTACAATTATGCAGGCTACACATTCCCCCCCCTCCCCCATCAAGCTGGGTATTCAATTTACCGACCTCAGAAGAATGGAAGGCTGAGTGAACCTAGGATTGAACTTCGGCCGTGAGCAGAGTTTTGACTGCAGTACTGCAGTTTAACAACTTTGCCACAAGGCTCAAATACAGTGACAAAGTGGGGAAAATCTAGGGCAGGGATTGAAGATGGTGTAATTGTAACATAAATGACACTGAAAGTACTGTGGTTGCATATAACCACTCAAGAAGAACATGATGTTTATTTTTAACAAATTAACCATCCTACGGTATATTTTTTTTCTAACTTGGCAGAGCTGGATACCTGACACTTTATGGCAACGAAGGGAAAGATTACGAAGATGTCTCTGGCCAAGCAAAAGATCGGGCTAACTCTCTGGAAATATATAATGAGTTTTATAAACTGGATCAGCTTTTAATGAAAGCGGCTCGCTCTATTTTGAGCGCAGGTTGGTTCTGGGCAAGAAAAATCACAAAGTGTTGGTGTGGATTTCAGCCCCCCCCCCTTCTGCAAGTTCTCAGGGTAATTCCCCTCTTCATCATGGCAGGAAGACCGAAGGGCCAAGGGATAAGTTAAAGATCAACTATCATTACATCTGAAATAACATTAGTGATTTGAGATATGAGTTACACAGCCTTTCACATCTGATAATTTAGACTTCGGCCGTGAGCAGAGTTTTAGCTGTCAAAAACGGATGTAGTGGCGCTGTGGGCTAAACCGCAGAAGCCTGTGCTGCAGGGTCAGAAGACCAGCAGTTGTAAGATCGAATCCACGCGACGGAGTGAGCTCCCGTCGCTTGTCCCAGCTCCCGCCAACCTAGTGGTTCAAAAGCATGCAAATGCAAGTAGATCAATAGGGACCACCTCGGTGGGAAGGTAAGAGCGTTCCGTGTCTAAGTCGCACTGGCCATGTGACCACGGAAGATTGTCTTCGGACAAAAATGCTGGCTCTGTGGCTTGGAAACGGGGATGAGCACCGCCCCCTAGAGTCGAACACGAATGGACAAAAATTGTCAAGGGGAACCTTTACCTTTACCTTTAGCTATCAAAGAAAATCTTGAGAAACAGATTTATTACAATGTGGAATACATTTTATGATCTGCAGTCTATATGCAGCTTACTCTATAATAAGTCTGTTCATCTTTAAGGGATCACACTGGGGAAGATGAAACAGACTGATGGTGTAAACAAAGAAAGAAGGATTTCTCAAAGGTTTTCATGGCCAGGATCTGATGGTTGCTGTGGGTTTTTCGGGCTCTTTGGCCGTGTTCTGAAGATTGTTCTTCTTACTGACTCCTGTCCTCTGAAGATGCCGGCCACAGAGACTGGCGAAACGTTAGGAAGAACAACCTTCAGAACACGGCCAAAGAGCCCGAAAAACCCACAGCAACCATCAAAGAAAGAAGGAACTTTTGAACAGTAGATGGCACCATTGTGTAACTTTTCAATCTCATTTTTCTTATAGGCTAAAATAAGAGTGGCTTCATTGTCCTTTATAATAATACTTGCCAGAGAAAAGAGAGTCACTTTGCAAGCACTTCACCATTTAATACTTCTTGCTAAACAGAACTGCCCTTTGTGTTCTGTGCTTAAAATATAGGAGGGTGTTCATAGGGGAAGGCATGTTTCTAAAATGTCCCTCTAATTTGTTTCACAAATGCACTTGTGGATTTTCTATACGCAGGAGAAAAGAAGACATTTGATAGCATTAAGAGAGATCTCTGGAAGCTACTTTCTGTGAAAAGGTTGGATTGCAGAGCAAACCGAAGCGTTTGGCTGGATAGCTATAAACAGCATTTGGTGGACCTGGGTGTGGATGAAGAGATGCAGACTAAAGCAATGTTGTTGCAGCTCTGGAGTACTCAGGTAGAAAGCCCAATATTAGCTTATGAGGGTGAGGCTGTACAATGTAGTGAGAATAATCATTAAGAGCAGAGTTACCTTAAGAAGTAAAAGACATTTGCTTATCTTAGCATGATGTTTCCACAGCTCAACAAGTTGCAAATTAACTCATTTTGTGATCGGGCATCGGAATGAAACATAAGCTTCCTTTGCATGTTTGTTTACAGGAATTTGTCTCATTCCTCTGTGATGTTTTATTACTTTTTAACTGTGAAGCTAACATCTGGCATAATTTAACTCTCTGAAGCTGCTTTGCTTTCAGGATCCTGAGCTTTGTATTTGCAGAACCTGAAATTTCTTTGTTGGCCTCCAAGTTCTGTAGTTGCTAAGGGATGCCAAAATAGACAGGAGACCATAATTTAGTTGACAATGAAATGAGATCCTGATCATCAATATCATGTAATATTTGGGAAACCAACATTGTATGAGATATGTAGTCATTGTGATAGTTTGTGTTTTGGTGTTGATGTCTTCCTTCAGCACAGAAGTGGGCAACTTTTTTTTTTATTTATGTAGAACATATTTGCCCCGCCTTTCTCCTTAAAAAAGGACCCAAGGTGGCTTACATCCTTGAAAGACAATATTTAAAGCTGAAAACAATGAACCTACAAGTCATTTACATAATTAAAAAACAATATTAAAGCTAAAACAATAAATATGCAAATGCTAAAAAGGAACAAATACCACTCTTGAGAGATGGCAAACACAAGTAGTACTAAAGACCCAGTCATAGGAGTGATGCATAACAATCCATCTAAATGGAACTCATGTAGTCAGCCATGTGGCCAGTCAGATAGGCAGTCCCTGAGGGAAAGCTTGCCTGAGGAGAAATGTCTTTGCCAGCTTTCAGAAGGACAGTAAAGATGGGGCCAATCCGGCCTCCTATGGGAGGGGGTTTCAAAGTCTGAGGGCAACAGGCCCAACAGCTAAAGCTAAAGCTCCACCTCTTCAGGCAGCCTTTTAACCTTTACAACTGAATCCCTGAACCCCATTTTAGCAGATAATTTTAATTTTTTCCCCATGTTTTCATATTTTAATCCTTTGATTTTATTTTAGATCATATATTGTTTAATTTGCCTTTAAATATTTAACTTGTGTTTTTAATTGTGTGAAAGTTAATGTTTTGAGCCACTTTGGTTCCCTTGTTGTGAGAAATGTGGC